ACACACACACACACACCCCAACACTTCTTGAGATACATTATGGATCATTACATTAAATTACAGATCTAAAAAGGACACAAACACAGACAAAACCTCCTGGACACATTGCACATCAGACAGACAGACAGCAGGAACATGAGAAGACTCTACTAACACACACAATGCCCCACAAAAACACACAGAAGCTCTTAGCACATATTGATTGTTACACAGAAACAAACATCAAACACAACATCATATCAAGACTGTCATGCACACACTCTTTTTCTGTCCATCACATACCGTGGAAGTGAGCTGTACTGTCGCTGTGCCTGGGCGAACGAGTCCCTCTCCTCCTGTCTCTGTCTTTGCATCTGAACCTCGACCGACACCGAGTGGCGACCCGGCTGGTTGTACCCGCCCGGACCATTGCTGCTGGTGTTTGACTGAAAACAGCAAGATGGCAGCTCGGTTAACTTTGATGTCCCCATCGTGACCGTCATCATCTATCTGTTACTGTTTGACAATAATCGAGATTTAACTGAAATGCTGTCCAATAAAATCAGTGGAAATGGGAACTGGTGGGACAAATATGATTTGGAGTGTTTACAGGATTCAATTTTATTTTATCGATCTCAGTGCAGGACATTATTTTATGCAAAGTAATGAAGGAAATGTCTGGTTCTAGGGTCTTCTTTATTTAGGTATAGAATACATTAGTGGGTCACAGTAATTTAGCATACTTTCACACTGATTTGGACCACCTATATGCTGTATTACTGATATTCATAGACCTAACCTGTGAACAGTTTTTACTGAAACTACTCTAGCTAGGAAACACCCTCTATGAAAACTGTTTACAGTAATGTCTGTGGATTATCCAGAGTAACATTGTCGATATTTAATATTTTTATTATAATTATTCAATGCAGTCTTTAAATCAAATGGAAGAGTGGAAAAATATGTATTTTTGTTTTTTGGACCGATCCTTTAAAACTGCAGTACTTTCTTATTGTGGCTCTAAGAGGAACAAAACAGTCTGAAGCTACAGAACAAGAAGTCACTCCGAAGTTAAAATAAATACTGATGACTTCTCTGTGTTCAGTTAAAGATTCATTATGTTGAACTGCCTGCTAACGCAAGACTGATGTATGAATGGGAGATGTTGGAGGTGATGACGCTTGTGAAATTAGTGGTTTTATGTAAATTAAGAAGATAGGTCTATGTTATATAATTGGTCCTCCATGTTTCAAGCTTTCACTATAACATTGATAGTCTGTAATTAAGACCATAAGCCACATTCCATAAAAAAACCTTAAGCACCCTTTAGAAGTGATAAAACACATTAAATATAAAGATTAAATGGTAAATTTAAATATTTTCTCATTGATGGCATTTTTTTTAATCTATTTCCCTTATGGTGGTTTTCATTTTGTATTTTCCTTTAATTGAAGAATCTGTGGGTTCCACAAATATTTACATCTGCCAATGTCAAAAACTGGGCTGTTTCCAAATAAAATATTTTGACCCAATGATAAGTTTAACCAAGCTCAGAGATCATAAATCTGCCTGAGCAAATAAAAATTTTATATTATACTGTTTATTGAAGATTTTGTTTTTGATCAAAAATTCAAGTTTGGAAAATTTTGCAGCAGTGTGGTATGAATGTCCTGTAGTAAAACGGTCAGACATTTTACCGTAGGACCAATATCAACAAAATTAAAGAAAGATAAAAAATGCCAAAAAATAATCTTTATAAATTGATAAAGAAGATGTGACTTTAAAAATAAACAGATAACATACGATCCTTCAGTACCAATTCAAAGCATGAAAATCACCACAACTGCAGGCAAGATTTCCACACAGTAACCCAATAAAACTAGCAGTCCCTGACACAGGATACCTTACAAAATCTCCCACCGCCCCCTCCCTCCAACCCCCCCAATAGTCCAAACCACAGACAGACACTTACCAGCAGTTAGTCGGGCAGACACACCCTGAGCTCGTCTCTTCTCAGGTCAAAATGAAGGTGAGACACAGACAGACAGAAGGAGGGGGAAGTGAGGGAGGGGCCATGCTGGAGTCTCAGAGCAGGGGTGCAGTGATGAGACGAGATGGATGTTAGTGGGTGTTAATGAAGGAGACAACACTCAGCCTGTTGACATTGTGACAGTCCCCCTCCCCCAAACGGTCACACATAAACACCTCCTGTGCTGGTTATTAGGTTACAGTAGGTATGTGCGTACAGGCACAGTCAGGTTGAGTGATATGTACATTTGTAAATGTTTGTAATGATTTTATGATAGCAAATATCATTTTAATTATTATTATCTTATGAATGTTTATACTGGCATACACACAAACTCTCAGCCGTTCATTAAAATGTATTAATGCATCTCTTATTCACTTTAGCCCTGAAGGGGTTGAGTATCCTTGAAAACTAGTTCAATGTTTGCCCAACCATGTCTAAAGGCAACAGTATTTATACCTGTTCCCTTTTTCGTAGCCTGCCGTTATGGCCCTCCCCCTGGCTGCATCCCATTTTCTCCCTGACTTTTCAAAGCCTCCATGTCCTAGGTCACTGTAGTCTCACAGAATTCATGGCTCAAATGGGGTTAATGTGGCACACACTTTCATGAACTCATGGTGTCGGTTGTGCTTGGTAGAGAAGTTCAACTCTTGCCTACTTTCTGGGTAAAGTTGGCATGATTGATGCACAGTCAGATTCAGAGATAAATTAATAGATGCTACCCCTCAGTTCAGAAGTTGGAATGGTAAGTTCTTTGTTTGAAGCATATTCACCCCTCAAACCCTAACCATTATAACTACATGCCTTACCCAAGCCCTTACTCTTAACTAAACCTAAAGCTAACTGTAACCGAAACAGCCCTTTAAAGAATCAAGGACCGGTCTTCACTGTCATGGTCTAAAATTAAAGAGTGCACACACACATATATAAACTATATGCTAATATCTCTTTCAGCAGCAGAGGACCACATTGAGGTCCAGCCCACACTGGTACCACAACTCCTTCCGCTCCTCCGATGTTCATTAGCGGCGTGGGTTCAATAATTACGTGCGGATAAGTCGTAACACAAAGCCAATCTAATTACTTTTATGGCCGTGCAACGTATTGAGAGCCTGGCGGGAGGACTGTCAGTTGGTGGGAAGGCCATAAAACGATTAAGAGTGCTAAGGAGACACTCCCCTTTAAACCAAATGAAGCCAGGGCAATCATCTCTGGAATTGATTGGCACTGCCTCGCAGCTCGGCCGACAATAAGGACAGGCTCGCAGACAGCCGAGAGGGAGGGGTGAGCAACCCTTATTCCATAGCTGAATTGAAAATCGCCCACAGGTAAATTACAGTCCCAATATTGTTCACATGAGGAAAAAATCCCTGTAGCGGTTTAGGAGTGCTAAATATATTCCTACAGTAGGAATGTCTGCCTGAACACGGTGATGTAGAGGGGAGGGGAAAATACCCTAAAGGAATCCAGATAATAGCAGCATTAAAATGTTACAGTAAAATACAAGAGGCAATATTATGCCCTTTCTAAACCCCCACCATCAAGTGAATGAACTCCTCTTTTCCCATAGTGGTATAAATGAGTGCAATAAAGCTGGTGCGGTGCTGCTGAGAGAGCGGGCATCAGTCATCCTGATGGAATTAGACCGTGTTACCCACAATCCTCCCCTGCTCCCCAAACTATGGTGAAAAAGACTAGAGCTCCCGTTGCAAAGAAGAGATACTAAACTGACGAGAGTCATGTGGCTAAACAGCTTGTGTTGAAAATGGATAATTGGGCGAATCGAGCACAGAGGGTGAAATTGTACGATTGATTTAAAAGATCCAGCTATCCTTCACTGGAGGTGTGATATGAAGAGGTGAGCTGGAGGTTGAGTGCCCAAACCTGGCTGGAAGGTCCAAACAACATGATAAGTGCTTCTATACGGCTGTACAGCGATATCTGTTTAGCTGGTATGACATGACGCTAACAGCATTAAATTCCCATTGTAACAGAGAATTCTGAATGGACAAGGGCAGCAATTTATGACTGTTTTTGATATCAATTAATCTCTATTTTTGTTTTAGATGAATCTATTCTAGAAAGTCCAATTTAGAAAATGTCCAAAAATACTGAATTTTCCAGTCCAAGCTGATGGTTGATGATGATTGTTGGTTAGGCGAAACAAGTAAAGATATTCTATTTACAATTCAATTTATAACAGAGAAACGCAGGAAATCTTCATGTTGCTTGAACAATTACTCAAAATAATAATCAGAATTGTTGTTGATGTTGACTTCCCTATGGACTGAACAATCATTTTACTAATCATTTCAGCACAGAAATGGATATTATACTCTGTAACCCTACTTAGGATTTATTTGATCTATTTGACATTTGCTTATGTTATATAACCATTTTTCTGCCATATGAAAAAACACAGCATATGAATGTTAGCAGTGTCTCATATGCAGCGCTGCCCTGGCACAGACTGTAAGTGGGGCAGTTGTAGGTGAATTAAGAAAAAGGACACTGGCTCCTTGAGGTTTGCAGCACATCACTCAGATGAAGCAACAGAATGTAATATATGCATGGGGAGGTAACTGAATTTCAAAGACACATTCTCCTGTCTTCCATATGGCCCACCAGTATGGTCAGGGCATGAGTCTAATAAGAGGCAATTACTATGACAAACCTGAGTGTGAGCTGCACACTGACAAGTAAAAGGACTTTTAAGGGACCATTGGCGGGTTCCTGGTAGATCCACCAGTTTAAGAAGTATTTATCTATAGCACTACATATCTGGGAATAAAAACATAGGCACAAGCAAAGGAAGGGCTAGGAATGGGGGTTCAGGTTTTTGATACGACTTTCATGGCATTCAGTATCAAAAACTAAATGTTTTTAGTATTCTTTGATTAGACAGCTTTTGATTCAAATCTGAATTTTGCCAATTTTAGAGTGTTTCAGGCAAAGATGTGCGTTCCACAAAATGTAAGATTTGAAGAATTTTGATCTGTAGAAACACATTTATACTCAAAGTAAGGTATCGTCAAATGTATCTTTTGGTATGGAAAGGAAATCTCAGTTATCATATCGGCACTCGTGTAGACCATTTTTAAACTATACCTGTCTTTGGTTTAAGATTGGTTTGGCAACCAAAGCAAAAGATCCATACCATGGATATTTCTGACATCTCCTTTTTCTAACAAGATCCCACTTCAAACCAGTGAGAGAAGAGCAGTGAAAAACACAAATGCAGATCTCTGTAAAAAAACGGTTCTAACTTGGTAAATAATAGTGAGAAAAATGGTTTTCAGGGATTTCCACAAATTCATGTAACATATTCATTTGGTAAAGGAACCTAAATCGTTCAAAAGGTCTGACTGGACGCCAAGTGAATCCTTTTAGATCATCTTTTAGAGTGTGGGTTACGTAATACTAAGTTTTCATGGGAAAATCACACTTAGTCAACAATAGCCAATGCGCTGCAGTTGACGTAAACAAACAATATACTGCAGTATTGTTGAGCTCTTTAATGGAGATTACGCTCAGTTGTTTAGAGACAAAGGGAGAAGTGACCTGCGCTCTTCTTTCCCACACTGTCCTACTTTTGCCGCACAATGCCAGCCTGAAAGTGCGCCAGGCCGCCGAACCCATTAAAACGCACGAATCTGGTGAATACTGCTGAATGCAAAACAAAGCTATACATTTTTATTGGATTTATCAGCTAGAAAAGAAAAGCCAGAGCACAGATGATTTGATTCGTGAGCTCTCACTTTATCATTTCATTTCAATTATAAATCATAGGACCAAATTCTCCCATTGCACACCAAAGACTGGGCAGAGCTACAGTGGGAAATTGTAGTGTAGACACCAGCAGTAAAAAGAGCTCATACAGAAATATACAAAAACACAGCTGTGTGTGCAAAATGACCTTGTATAGAAACAACCAACAAGGACAATTCATGTTATTTGTAAAGAATGTAATTTACAACACACCTAGTGTCTAGTTTGGGATAACACACATTTGTGCTCACATTTATTAATTATAATACGTATTGTGTCATGATGTGTTTGTATGTTAAGAATATGTGTGAAAAACGTGTGTTGTCTCAAACTAGATGAAGGAATGTGGTGAAAATTACTCCTTTAGTGTATAAAACAGTAATATATTACACATTACACAGAGATGCTAGCAATTAGAAAAAAGTAGTAAAATCTTGTCTTCAAGATTTAAAATTTGCTACAGCTGTTCATCGTAATTTGTTATTCAAAATAACGTAAAACCAAGTACACTTGAGTTGTGGTGCAAGGAAGAAGGGAAGACTAAAATAAATACTACAAATATGACAAGCGATTTCATCACCCCAAAAAACTTTGAAGGCATTCAGATTTTGTTCGCTTATTATTACCCCATGTTGCTTCAGAATGCACTAATTATCCCCCTTCTTAGCCAGTGAAGCTTTTAATGAAATAAACGCCAGTTAAAATGTACACAACTCTCACCATGAAACTGTAGAAAGGCACAGTTAAAACAAAGGGTTCACAAATGAGACCCCTGAACACAGAAACATTGTGAAGACAAACCCAAGTCCATGAGGTGGTGGGCGGGTCCATTTGGATGACTGACAGACACAAACAGCGACGATGGATGAGTAGAGTAGGTTGTGACGGATGGGTGGGGTTAGTGACGGTTGCGTCAGGAGGTGTGCAAACTCCTGCATGCAGGTGGTGGGACATTTGAGGGTGAGGGGTGTTAGCATTAGCACAATTAGCCAGGAAGGCCCATGGAGGTTAATGGTTATCCTAAGGTGGGAACAGGGTGATATCATCAGTCTTGTTCATGGCTGGTAGTAGTGGGGTTAGTGATGGTTAGCACCATACTCCAGTTAGCCACAGGGTACTGTCGTGTGCTAACACTGTTAGCATTCTCCTCAGGCTAGCATTTGAAGTTATATGTCCAGAGTCTTGGTCTGGTAGAGGTCGCTTCTTGAAATTAACAGTCTTAAAGTCTAGCCGTCTTCTCTGGCCGACAGACGATTTGAGTTACAGGCTCCCGTCATTTCAGACACTCACCCAGGGCTGCTCGAAGCTGTAGGTCCTCCTGCGGTCGTCGGGGTCGTCTGGAACGGTCTGGGACTGCTGGAACTCCTGCCTCAGCCTCTGTATCCGGTCGTGGTTGCTAGGGGCTAGCCGGTTACTGGGGAGAGAGGAGAGAGAAAAGAGGAGGGAAAGATGGATGAGTGTGAGAGGTCCATTGTGAGCAAGTGACCTGGTTTCATCAGCGCAGGCAGAAATGGCCTGCAGGGTTGAGTTCTTTAAAGTCCAACGTGCTTTGTCCACAAACTGATCAAATGCAATGTTGACACAGGAAAAGCAACCCAGATACGTTCAACCCAGATAAAACATAAAACATGATAAGTGAGGGCAGAGCCAAGAGCGGGCTTACAGCAGAGCCAACAGCAATATGAATCAAACTAATGTGCCTCTGATGTATTATTCATAACAATGAACAAAGACTAGCGGTGAACGGTGAGCAGTACCACAACACACACATACCCCCCGCCCCTACTGGCCTCATATCATTCAACTACTGCACTGCTATTGTCTGTTGCAGCCCTGCGGTGCTTACATCAAACAATGCTGCCTTCAGTGTAACTTGCTCATGGTACACTGAACAAATGCACTCTAGCTGGTCATTTAACATCGTTACGGACTTTATGATGTTCAGTGATTAAAAAGGAAAAGTTTTAGAGACCGGTTGTCAGCATGCACAGTGAGCTCCAATGTCAAACACATAAACCCTTATACATTTGGTGTACATGGCAATTAAATACATTTTGATTGTGAAATTATTGAAAGATAGTTGTTTTCTTTTCTGTATCTCAAAACAATTTCTGGTAACGGTAAAAAAACTGCACATCAAACTTAGGCATTGAAGTAAATCAGAGCTCCCGTCGATGAATATAAATCTCTTGTCATCTCAGTAACAGTTATATTTGCAATCTTACAGACATGTATTATATTCATCTCTCTCAAAGAGAAGTTCTGCTAGTCTCTGAAAAAAAAAAATGGAGAAAACTATAGGATATACGTTCAAAAGAGAAGACAGGTTAGTGTTAAATATATATGGCCTCCTACCGAGGAAACTAATTAACACATTTTCTCTCTCAGGCAGTGTGTGTGAACAGAAGCATCAGGGTTGGTGGATGAGGGAGCAGCGGGAAAACGTTGACTCCGTCCGTGACTTTTCAACTTTCTCACTCCGCCAGGAAATTCCTGGGGACTGTCTTATCTCTAAAACTGAAAAGGTCAAACAGACAACTCTTTCCAGTCCCAAAGCTCCCCTATGTTTGGTTTTGCAAACCTTTTTCTGCTTACAAAGTAAAAATTTAAGGTCAGCGTAAAGATTCCGAATTGTATTTGTTGAGGGATATGATTAAAATGTTGACAGAAAAATATTATATTAAAAAAATGTGCACCTGCAAAAAATAACAATTTTAAAAGGAATAAACAAAACAGATCCTTATAAGCTAGGTTATGACATTAACTGCACAGTTTAAACATAATAAACAGTTTATCTTCATGAGGCCAAAGTATGACTCCATCTAGGCATAATATTGCGGCAGTAACTGCCTAAATTCATTTCATCCATCACAAAAAAAAACCCCAACTAAAAAACAGAAAGTAGGCTTTTGATGCTATAATCTAAAACACAGCAGCACCACAAACTTAGGCAGCTATTAACTCCAGACGCACACAATGGAAAAGCCAGAGCCAGTCAGCCTTGTTAAAGACCAGGAACCTGTCATATGCGATCCTGCTAATCTCCATGATATGTAACACAGCCGCTTGGCTTCTTTAGACCGCAGCTGACCTGATAGGCGGTACAAATGTGACCCTCTGGCTTTGGGTCAAGGCCCGGCTTCAACAGAAAGGCTGATATCTGCTAGTGAGTAACCTGTAAACAGATGTGGTAGCGCTAGAAAAAAAAGTTGAAAATTAGTTTCTTAGTTTTCCATGGATTAAGACAGTCCTCACTGTGGAAGAAGCACAACAATTCAGTCAGAAATTATGTCCAATGTTTTCCAGACAAAAGATGTTCCATCTCCTGAGATAGTCGCTCAACCCTGTAATCAAAAGTATATCACCATTAAGGCAACCTATAGACCCATCCTATATGCTGGAATCCTGCCCAAGAGACTGAATGGAAGAGAAACTCAAATAAAGGGATCAAAGATCTCCAATCCTCCAGTCTGACAAAACACTGTAAATCAATCAAAGAAAGAGCAACACTGCAATACAACTGTACTGCCAAAAATCCCCAGAGACAGGGAAGAACAGCGGGCTGAGATTTAGTCTGAGATGAGCTTCATCCTCTGGACAGGCTCACTCAATATCTGGCACTGCTGTATGAGGCTGAAAGGTCACTGTGTGGCTTTGTTGAGTGGAGTGTCTCTGGGACTCAATAACAGGACTGTGGCTTGCTGACTGGGCTGCCAGCAAAACTGTTTACGCTGAGATGCACCCTGCCTTTCATGGTCGGGCGTGCCTCCTGAAAAGCTGTCTGTCTCGGTCTCAAGCCTGGCAAGGAGAGAGTTTTGAGAAGATGTAATGTCTGCATTGTGGGCAGACTGATTTCAGAACTGCACCGCTACACTATGTTCTAATGAAGCATGGTGAAACAGAGCGATTGCCAAAAAGAAGCTTTGAGAATACGATCGCTTTTACAAATTTACGCCTTTGTTTTCTCTTCCAAATAAGTTTGGCTAATCTGAAGTGTTGCATAAAATGTGTGATCATCTGGCCGCTTGTTCTTCTTGCCCTGCTGAACTTCTGATTTAATGATGTTGCCATGTTCCTAGATCTCAGCATTTAACTTGGTGAGAACAGTGTTACTATTCCTGATAGGACTGATGTCCAGAAGTACGAATTGAAGACCTAGGGCTGTAAAAACCAGGTATCCTTTAAGCCTGGAAAGGAGGGTGCTTGTGTAGGATTTGAGATCTGGATTGTGGCCAGACTTCAATCTCAGAACAACAAAGCCACAATATGTTCTAAAAACGCCTCGTAAAACACCAAAAAACAAAGCTTTGAGAGCAGGACTGAAGCAATTAAAGACAGCCACTGGAAGTCCTTGCTTCATTTGACATAGAGGAGGAAGTGGTCCAAATTGGACCTAACTCCAAACTAATAGGATTTATCAGATCTGTGCTTCACTTCAAAATCCCCCATGACATTGACGCTGCTTCCACGGATCCCAATCAAAGCATGCCAACAGACAGAGGAAAGGCCTCTATGGGGCAATGCACAGTAAGTGACAGAGGCAGCTGATGGACAGAATCCTAATCCTGTGGATTATAAATGAATGGCCTCATTCACACAGGCTGCTCTTCCCATGCCTATAGGAGAATCCCTCAGACCTACCACCAACTGTACATGGGCATAAATTTAAGAACCGTGCACTCATTTAGAGGACTTGGTGACTTTTAGTGGCTCAGTGTGCCCTTGAAATGAATGCAAAGATGAGGGTGTCTGCATGGTTTTGGCCAATAAAAAAGAAACAGCTGTAGTCGACCCCATTAGCCACCAGCTGGCCCACAAAGACCATCTGAGCATGTACAGTACACCGAAGTGCGGAGGCCTATACGGTGGAGAGATTCGAGTGGATGTTTTGTGACAAGGGCCCTCGTGGCGAGTGGTTACAAGTGGTGTGACCTTGACGATACAAGAACAGCGTTGTTGGTTCACACTTCAAAGTCACAGATGAAAGCGTCACCCCAAGCATGCAGCACTGCGTGAAGAACTATTAACAAAACCAGCCAAGTCAGTGTTTCTTAAATCTTATCAGAGCCTATTCTGTCTCTAATGCAAATTAGAAGAATGATTCATATAAAAATCACACCTCGCTCTTAATAATGGACGGATTGTATTCTGTGATATCCTATCTATTTCATTTGCCAATAATCCTTAATTCATAATAATCAACTTTTTAATTAAAAGCCACCGTCTTAATTAAACATTTAATTAGGCATGGTTAGTCATGGGATTCCCATCTCGAATGTGACTGTTGTACTGACTAGCTCGCCAGCCTGTTAAATAAACATTTTCTGATGTAGCGATACGCATAGCAAGAGAACACCGCATGTCGTGAATACGTGTTCCCGCAGAACACAGCAGCTGTGGGTTAGTTTCTGTAATCTTATCAGATGGAGGGAACTAGACCCTACATCCTCTGACAAAGAGAGAGCAGCAGCTGGAGCCTTTCTCTGCTGTGAAAAATGAACTGAGATGCTGAAGATGATAATCCAGGTCTATTGATCGAAGGATCACAGACAACTACGAGGGAGACTGAAGCCCTTGCTAACCGGTGCTAGCGGCTAACCTTCCATCTTTGGGCTGTAGTATGGCAAAGTCCCTACTACTGTATCATTAAGTGAGCTTCCTCAAGCAGTCACACACTTATACAAATCTGGGATAGATGTTGATAAAAGTTAGTAGAATGAATACTAAAAATATCTTTGTTTGGGACATTTTGCATAGACTACCTTGAAGTGGTGAAGTGAAATCTTTATTTCAAATTATTAATTTACCTTTTTAGTACATTTTAAAACAGATTACAGTGTTATATTCGTGACAATTACAAGAAAAAAAAACAGTTCTGTATATAAAAAGAATGCTGCAACAACCTAAATTGTCAGAATAATGTCACACAAAAGGATACAGCAGTGTTGAACTGGCGAAGCAGAATCTGTGTACAGTTACGTTAAAGTACACAAGCATTAGCTACAGAAACGGGTAGGTTTAAAGCTCTACCTTAAGAGGAAAGTTGTAGTTTCTTTAGTTACTTTTATTAGACTGAAGATGAAGTCCATTTTATGTTTTAATGTGCTTTATATGATGATTTAACAGCTATACTTTTTAACAAAATGTCTGCCATCTTTGCTGACTTCTTCTGGTGGGAAGACTGTAAAAGATTCTATAAAAGAGTTTTGCCTTTCTTGTGGCAAATTGTATTTATAGAACTTTAGAGAGAAGACAAAGTTTATTGCTTGAAATACAATCTTTTATATAATGAGTTATGCTCTTATGTTGTACTGCAACTGTTTAATTGGTGTCTAATAAGCAGACGTGGGCCAGGCACTTGTATGTGTGTGGCACAAAATAAAATAGAATAATTGGACAAATACTGCTGTTTAC